CATATTCCCAAATATTGTTTATAAATGTTTTTACATTTAAAGGGGGATATAATATAGATATGAATATTTTGCATTGGTATGGATTTTAAGGTAAATTTTGTTATATGTATATGTATTTCTGATCTCGATTAAGGTATTGTGATTGTGTAGCTCATTTAAAAATGTAATGTATAATCAGGAAATATAGGTTGTTAATGAATAATCATCAATAATAATCAAGCTTGTAGTCATGTTAGTTAGATTTTCTAGATATATAGAGATATATTTCAGTTAGATAGGCATTCTTCATATCTTTCAAAGACTACCGAATATGGAATTAAATGTTTTAATAACTTAGGGCTTTTCATGACAATAAGACACGTCTGCTCCTGGCAGCACCAAGCTACTTCCTGAGGAAGATGGGCACCAAAGAGGCTCCTTATGGAGTTTGATAGCCATTTGGGCAAGAAACTGCTTTTGCCTGGACTGTTGCATAAACTGAACACAAAGAACCTGAAGAAGAGGACTGCTGAACTTGCCTAAAGATGAGGTGGTCTTTCGGTGTTCCTGATTCATAAAATAGTCTGTGAGACATTCTGCAGGACACAGCAGATAGTGACTGAACTGCCTTTGAAATTTCCTACTTCATGGAAATGTCTGGTGAAAACTACGGGCCTGTAAGCTGAAGATGGATGGCCCAACAGTACAAAAGAACTTTGGGTAACTGTACAGGCAGTGAGATGTCTCTGTCATTTCTAGAGTTTTAGAAGTTGCTTACTTCTTGTTTACTTAGGTAATATTATATCCTTCTGAAGTCTTTGATGGAGTTAAAGAATGGATAGTTATAGTTTTCCTTAGTTATGATAAAAGATAAAATATATATAAATATTTTAGCTGTAATTCTTACTTAGTAACTGTTTTGTTATATGTAATTTTAATATGTTAAACTGAAAGCCTATCTTTTTTGTTTAAACAGAAAAAGGGGAAATGATGTAGGAGGGTCTTCTGTGTATGTGTTACTTTCATTCATTAAATAAAGAGACAGCCTTGGCCTTTTGATAGGACAGCAGTTTAGATAGGCAGAGTAGACAGAACAAAATGCTGGAAGAAGCAGAGTCAGCAGATGCCATGAAGCTCTGGCATGAGATGGACGTAGGTTAGAATCTTCCAGGTAAGCCACTACCTTGTGCTGCTACACAGATGATTAGAAATGGGTTAATCAAGATGTGAGAATTAGCCAATAAGATGCTGGAACTAATGGGCCAGGCAGTGTTTTAAATTAATACAGTTTCTGTGTTATGGTTTCCGGAGCTAAGCTAGTCGGGTGGGGGCTGGGCAAGAAGAAAAGCAGGCATGATCGCCTCATCACTAAATGAAAGAGCTCTTGAATAGCATACTATTTCTTGTTGGAGAATATTTGGTTTTTGTTTGTTTTTTGCTCACATGGAATTGACTTAGTGTCATGATATATGTATATTCCAATGGCGAATGTTGACCCTTACATGCGATACTAGAAAAAGACAGGACCTATATTACAAGCAACTGTTCTGTAGTTTAATAAATATATAGAAAAATGTGAGTAATGAGTATATAAACCATTACAGAAAGATCCAAGTAGTAACATAGTTTAAATCATCCTTAGCTTTCTGTCTCTGTGACAAAATACCTAGAAAACTAACCTAAACTGGGAGGAAGTGTTTTATTCTCTATTGTTATGAAGACAGTATGACCAAACTTACTTCTAGAAGAGTTTATTTTGCGGCTTAGAGTTTCTGAAGTTGAGTAAGTGACCATTGTAGTGAGAACATGACAGCAGGCAGGCATGGTGCTAGAGCAGTAGCTAAGACCATCTGTATCTATAAAAAGGAGGCAGAGAGGACTAACTGGGAGTGGGATAGGCTTTTGGAACCTCCAAACCCACCAGCATTGGCTCTTCCCACAAGGTCTCCTAATCATTAACAAACAGTTTCACCACCCAGAGGCCAAGTATTCAAATGCATGTGCCTATAAGGGGCCATTCTCTTTTATTTTGACACATGGTTTCAGAGGCTTTGGTTGTTCATTTGACCACTTTGCTTTTTGGCCCATGGCAAGGAAGAGCATCATGACATGGAACATGTGGCAGAGACGCTCCTTTCCAGTCACAGACTGGGAAGAGGGAGAGAAAAGGGGAACACAGAGAAGAGAGCGAGCCAGACTCTTGATACACCTCAAGCATACATACCCAGGAACTCAACCACCTCATAAAGGTGGGTGTACTACCACCCTATAAGCTGAGCACCAAGTGTTTAGCACATCCAGAGGACATTTCAGATCCTAACCATAACAGTAACTATTCTTCACTTAGAATTGCATTTCCTTGCCAGGCGGTGGTGGCACACACTTTTAACCCCAGAGCTCAGGAGGCAGACGCAGGCAGATCTCTGTGAGTTCCACGCTAGCCTGATCTACAGCACAACTTCCAGGACAGGCATCAAAGCTACACAGAGAAACCCTGTCTCGAAATACAAAACAAAACAAAAACAAACAAACAAAAAGAAGTGTTTCCTTAAACTGTACCTCCATCCCACCACATTTATCCAAAGAGCTGACTTCATTGGGAGTATGTAACATATGTAACGTTATATTTGTGTGTGTGTGTGTGTGTGTGTGTATACATGCTGTGGTAAGCAAGTAGATGCCAGAGGACAACTTGCAGAAGCCAGTTCTCTCCTTGCAGCCATGTGGGTCCTAGACAATCAAGGAGGTATCAGGCAAGTACTTTTAGCTACTGAGCTTTCTCGGCAGCTCTTGATTTTTGTTAACTAGGTAAAGAATACACTGGCTATTCTGTTTCCAATTTAATTCACCCCTAATAGTCACAATCCATTTAGTGCAAACCCCGAAACTAAAGGTGTAGGTTCACAGATGTCACTGCCCTAGATGCCGGTCTCACTTCAGGGGTCTCCAGGCCATCATAAAGATACCTTCTGACTTGACTTTAAGAAAAGTTCTCTTAAGTTTCTTGTGGATCACTGATTTGCTAGAATGACTGACAGAACTCTGAAAAACCCTATATAGTGCTTATTTTTTTAAATTATACAGTGCTTATAATAAAGGGTAGATACAACACAAAATCAGCCAAACATGTTGAGATGTGGTCTCTACAAGTGGAGTCAGGGAGTGTCTCCATTCAAACATAACGATATCTGTTCAACAGAGTCCCACCAAAGCCAGCGTCTAGAGTCTGTATTGGGGTTATATTACTCAGACATGATAAACTATGTGGTCCAATGATAGAACATAACGTGCAGTTCCCATCCTCCAAGCTGGCCTGAAGTTCAGCCTTCTAATTATGTGGTTTATCTCTCTGGTGGCCTGAAACTTTTTGCCACTATGCTCACTATGAGCCACCTCAGTAGCAAGAACCCTGGGAGGGACTGGATCTTATAGAGTCCTAGGTTTGTCCATGCTTCACATACACCCACAGCCTCTCAGATACTTTTGTTTTAAAGATGAGGTCTTACTGGTACCCCGGGTTGGCCTTAAATTCAGAACCATCTTGCCTCAACCTACAAGTGCTAGGGTTATAGACAGCCGTCACTACATCTTGCTAAATAATTGGTTTTTTTTTTTTTGGTTGGTTGGTGATGCTGGGAATGGCTTTATGTATTTCAGAAAAGCACCATACTAAGATGCATCTCCACTTTATTAGATAACATGGACATTTATTCTTAAAGGAAAAATAATTAGAATATATATATATATGTGTGTGTATATATATATACATATATATATACTTATTTTAATACTTGCCACGCCAACTGCAGTGCCGTCTGTGTTACATAACATATGTCATTATGCCAGATCAGAGCTACGTGTCCTATGGAACTAGGCTTCCTGGAGGTCAATGGCAGACAGCCCAGTATTAGCCATCACTGAGGCATAGACAGATTTCTCGATTAGCTGTCTATGCAGGATACGGGCTTTGCACAATCTCTTTTAATAATTATATTCTATGTATCTACAAGACAAGGATTATCTCTTCATGAACAGCTCTGGGATAGGGAAGCCCAGTATGAGAATGTATAAGACTACAGCAGAACCTTTGTCATACACAGGGTGTATGATGAGCAAGGGTTAATACTGATGTACAAAGACTGTATTATACTTTGAACTTCATAGATAGGCTTGCTAGATCCCAGCCCCCATGATGTCTGCTGCATAAGAAGGTACAAAAAAGGTATATTTCAGCAGGTGCAGCGAACAGATTAGGCATATTTGGTCACTAGATAAAATAAGAAAGGGTTAGAAAGAGGAAGGGCCATGATAGTGATGAGACAGAAACTTTCTATTCATAAGATGAAACCACTTGTCTGAGGTTTATGTTCCCAAGGACAAGATTTCCTTTTCTAAGGATGCTTTATGTTTAACACCTGTCCCTGATAATATGCTTTTCTTAAATATTGCTGATGTGACTAAAAGAAGCTTTCATACTGTGCCAGCCAATGATACATGACCTTCTGATTTGTTCTTTGTTTGAATACTATATAATGAAAACATGAATTCAGTAAAATCACAGCAGATTCCAACCACTCTCTGTGTGTTGTGTCTGTCTGTCATTCGCCGAACTTGTGCCTTCCTGTTACCAAGACCCTGCTTCTCCCATGGTCTGAGTGGCTCCCCTGAGCCTGTCCGTGGCAAATACTTGTTTTACAGTAGAGTCTATATATAATGCAGATAAATTACATTTAACAAGTAATCTTCAACCAAGCTATGGAAGTGCACGCCTTAAATCCCAGTACTTGGAGACAGAGACAGACCAGGACTGTTACACAGAGAAACCCTATCTGGGTGGGGAGGGTCAATTATCCAGTTGCAGGTGGCAGTACATGCTAGTGGTTCTTGCACTTCTGAGTGGAGATAGGAGTTCAAGGTCATCCTTGGCTACAAGATGATTTGAGATCAGCCTGAATTATATGAAATCCTGTTTCAAAAAGAAAACTATAAAAACCAATTTTTATTTACTATTTGTTTAATGACTTAAAAAAACGAAAGAAAACAAAGTACTAGTTGACATTTTCCTTTGGAGGGGTTGTTTTTTTAATTAAGAGTTTTAAGTGAACGGAAGAATGTAAACATAATTTAAACTGTAAAGACCCAATTGGCTTATATACAAGTGGTTGTTTCTAGATCTACGGAGTTTGTGGTTTTAGTGGGGTTCCCACCCCCCCATTGGTAGAAATATGAAGATCTAATCCTGGTATTAAAGGTGGAAACCCAGACATACTCAAAGACAGAGAAGTAATCGTTTCTTCTTCCCATGTAGCATACAGTTTCCAAGGTGCTCCTTACGATTATCGTTTTCCGTTGCTCACAGTGTTGAGTTTGGGCAGAACCCATGATTTTTACCTTCTGACCAACAGGCAATGGAAACACTGATTGCACTCACACACTTGCCCTTTCTGCAGAGGTGTTGGACCCCTAGGGCCCTCTTCTCTCTCCACCTGGTCATGAAGAAAAGAAGCCAGTGCTGTTTCTGATTTGTATGGAGAGAGCAAAGTCCGTGTGAGATGAACTGTGTGGGTGGCCTCCCAGAGCTGAGCTGGTCCTCTGGTTGACAAAGCACAAAATGTGAATCAATCCTACAGTTGCAAATATAGAAATTGTACCCCAGACCTAGGCCCGAAAGCAGATTCTTCTTCTTGAAGCGTCTAGGTGAAAATTTCCCCCAGCTGACGTTTGATTGAAGTAGTCGAGGCCCTGAAGTAGAAAGCCCAGCTAGATGGGTTATGGCAAACTAATCCTGGTGGGAAAAGGCAAATGAGAAGATTGAGAAGAGGCAAAGTAGACTCGGAGATGCATTCTTCAGTTCTTTCTTAAGGTCTTGGGGGAGCTGTTCCCGGGGACTTGGACCTGTAATCCCACCTCCACAGGAAGCTGAGACATAAGAATGTCAAGTTCCAGGCCCTGAGAGCAATTTAGTGAGACCTCTCAAAATGAAAAATACCTAAAAGCCTGGGAATATAGCTCAGTGGTAGGCCTTGTTGGCCTAGTACAAGTAGTAGGAGCAAGGCCCTAGGCCCACCCTGTTCTACCCTACAAAAAAAAAAAAAAAGAAAAACAACCAGGTCTTAGTGAAGCTTTCAGGGATTTAGATTATGGCCCTTTTTGAAGAGAGTCACACTTTAGCTATAATTACAGCTTACTGGAGTAGTTGTCCAAAGGAAAAGAAAGCATCAATTTACTTGTAAAGTTTTGTAAGGAGACTGTCCCCCTAAAGTAGCTGACTAGCAGGTGGTACTCCCACAACTGTCCCTCCTTTACTTTCTTCCCAAGCTCAAAGTCAGATATGTTCAGTTCCTTTCCACATAGCGCTCTTCCAGCTCGACTGTTAGGGACAGATCTTAAAGATGGTTTGGGGCAGGTTCTACACACCGGGGAAGGACCATTCCTGTTGACCTCCAGATGGAGAGTGCGCTGCCCTGTGGCTTGTCAAGCCCATGGGAGGACCTGTGTTAACTTGCATGGGCAGATGCGCATGGAAGCGGTTCAGATTTACAACAGGGAGGAGGGCAGGCATGAAGAGGAAGTGGAAAGCCTCTGGGTTTTTCTACGATGGTGTATGGAGGCTGCTGAACCGTAGGAGTGGAATGATACCCTTTTAGGATGCCATACCGAGCAGAAAGCCTCCAAAAAATCCTCCAGTTACTAATACGTTCTGCTTTATGAACGACACCAACTCCTCAGCTTTGCTTTTGACCTCAGTTGGTAATTGGGCGCTCTTCCGAATCTTCAGTTGTTCCTTGGCCTTTTTCATGTCCTTCTCTACGCGATTCCAGTCAACTTTGATGTAGCCAGTATGGTTTGCGAACTGAAGTAGAAAAAAGCCCCCTCCCACCGCTGTGGCAGCCAACTTTCCAACTCTCTGAAATATGAAGCCAGTGCACCAGCCCGTGATGCCGCCAACCAGGAGCTGGGTTGCCACACTGTACTTCTCGCCCGCAGACCTGGTCTCCTGCCCAAAAAGTTTGCGCCACCAAGGCTGGTTTTTGCCAAATTCTCTAAGATCCACTGCCTCAAAAGCATCAAAGTGCTCTTGACTGTTCGTGGCCATCTCTGTGAGCTGCGAGTTGCGAGAGGACAGCCGCAGAGGGTCAGTAGGGCAGGAGATAGAGCGTTTTGCGGTTACGGTGGTGGTGCTTGTGGTCGTTGTCATGGCCTGCTGACCTTCCGCACGTGGGCAGATGTATCCATTCCCACGGCCGTGGCGAAAGAGGGCAGGTGGAGAATGCGCCTCAGCTTTTCTTCAGGCGGAGCTACGTCATAAAGCCACCTTGGCCTTTATCAAACTGGGTGTTCTAAGGATCAGAAAAGGCTAAAACTCACTCGGTTGTCTATATTCGTTAGACTGGAAAAGTATATTATAGATACTAGTTGGAAGATTTGGTGGGGGGTTTGCCCCCCCAAAAAAGATTTCAATTGAATACTCAAGCTAAAACGAGATTTGTTACAAAGTACAACCAAGCCTTTAAAAAGTAAATTTCTTTTTTTTTAATTAATTTATTTATTTAAGCATACAATGCTGGCAAAGAAGGCACCAGGTCTCATTACAGATGGTTGTGAGCCACCATGTGGTTGCTGGGAATTGAACTCAGAACCTCTGGAAGTTCAGTCAGTGCTCTTAACTGCTAAGCTATCTCTGCAGACAAGTTAAAAATTTTAAGGCAAATTGAAGTGCATATAGGTTGTTTTGAAACAAAAATTCTTTGGTTACAGAGGCTTGGTGCACAATATTGTTATTTACTAGGAGAGTCTTCACAGAAGTGATTCTGATTGCAGAATTGTGGTTTAGACAGTTGCAACTCTTCATCTAGGACTGTCTGTTACTGGAAAGATGTTCATAGAAGTAGGCTTAATGCAGAGCTGGGCTTGACAGTTTTTGTGATAGCCTACGGCGTATCTAGTAACTCAAGACCAATCTAGTATTTGGTCATGAGAACTGTGAGAAAGTATGAACAGCTTGCTTTGCTGGTCCAGTCCTAAGAAGAAAGTGCCAGTTCAGTTGACTGTGGGTTAAACTGTACACTATACAAAGAAAAATGTTGGCCGGGTGGTGGTGGCCCACGCCTTTAATCCCAGCACTCGGGGGGGTCTACCATTTGGAGAGCTGAAGCAGAAGGAATGCCACAGGTTTGAGAAAACCCTCTTCTACCAACAATCATGGACTATAGAGCTAGATACCATCTCAAAAACAACAGAGAACAAAACAAAGCCGGGCATGGTGGGTGGTTCGTACCTGTAATACTAGAACCTGGGAGGCAAAGATTGGGGAGGATCAGGAGTTCAGGGGTAACCTCAGCTATATAGTGAGTTGAAGACTAGCCTGTGCTACTTGAGACCCCTCCCCTATAGAAAAAAAAACATGCTAAACTAAACTTGTAATATATCAAAAAACAAAATATAGGTAAAAGTTGTTTATTTGTTTCAAAATTTTGAAGCAATATATATTTATTAATTGATGGTAATGTAAGTTTTAGTTTACATTTAAATTTGAATCTGAATCAGGTTTGCCCATAAATGAGAACTGTAGCTTTTTTATAGTAGCAGTGATTGAAGGTTTCAAGCTGTTAAGCAAGCACTCTGTCTTACTAACATCTCAAGCCCAGAACTACACTTTTTTTTTTAATTTTATTTATTATGTATACAATATTCTGTCTGCGTGTATGCCTGCAGGCCAGAAGAGGGCACCAGACCTCATTACAGATGGTTGTGAGCCACCATGTGGTTGCTGGGAATTGAACTCAGGACCTTTGGAAGAGCAGGCAATGCTCTTAACCGCTGAGCCATCTCTCCAGCCCGAACTACATTTTAAACAGAAAAAGTTCACATAGATGTTCCAACTTTCTTGGCAGTGGTGTCATACATCTTTTATCCCATTATTTGGGAGGCAGAGGCAAGCAGATCTCTTGAGTTCAAGGCCAGCCTGGTCTACAGAGTTCCAAGATGGCCAGAGCTATAAAAAGAAACCATGTCTCCTGTGCCGGGGGGTGGGGGGGAATCACATGTGCGTGAACATACACACACACACACACACACACACACACAGACACACACACAAATTTGAGAAATAAATAGTGTCCAATTAGAAGCACTAGTTATTTTTGTTTGTTCACTGTTACAAAGAGTCAGTGTGTAGCCGGGAGGTGGTGTCGTCTGCCTTTAATCCCAGCACTTAGGAGGCAGAGGCAGGAGGATTTCTTTGAGTTCGAGACCAACCTGGTCTACAAGAGCTAGTTACAGGACAGGCCCAAAGCCACAGAGAAATCCTGTCTCAAAAAACAAAACAAACAAACAAAAAGAAAATCAGTATGGTGAACCAGCTAAATCTTTGACATTATGCCTAAAGCGAAACTTGACCCTCTTCTCCACTAGCTATATGGCATAGGATAAATAATTGCTTTCTCTGTGCCTCAGTTTCCTCTTTCTAACTCAGATAACCCTATTCCATGTGTCCATGGAGAGCCTGGCTGATACTACAGTACTCTGTAGCATTCCTTACTCTGCTTTCCGATACAGCAGATACTTACATCAGTCCCTGTGCTCCAGATGGGAGCACTTGCCCTAGGAGGATTCTTCATATAGAGATGCTTTAGGTGCAGCAGTTCTCTGCTTTGAATTCCAGGGTTTTTTCTAAATCTCCTCTTGTATTTTCGCGGGGACATGTTCAAGGATTTTCTCTTCAGTCCTTGATTTTACTTGGTGTTTACATGAGTGGTTAGAAAGTTGATCTGCTGCCTTAATAAAAGTAAAAGTATTTTGAAATTATTTTAAATTTTACTTCTAGATGCTGTCTGCCACTCATGGGTGTAAGCAAGTTAGATATTCTATACCGGAGACTTCTCCTCACAAAGCTCTTCATCAGAGGATGGGGAAGGCCAGAAGATCTCAAGAGGTAGTGTGTGTTTCATGAATGCTTGACTGTCATTTTTGTGTGTATGAGTTCTTGCCTACACACACGTGTGTGTATCATGTATGTGTCTTGTGCTTTTTGGGGTCAGAAGAGATCATCGGGTCCCCTGGAAATGGAGTTGAGAATGATTGTAAGTCACCACATGGGTGGTGGGAACCAAACCTGAGCCTTCTACAAGAGCAACAAGTGCTCTTAATTACTGAACTATCTCTCCAGTCCATAAATGGTTATTTTGAATTTATTGTTTTGATACATAGTTAAATTTTTATTTCAGTTGTAAAATATTTTAGCTTTTGCCGGGCAGTGGTTGCCTACACCTTTAATCTCAGCACTCAGGAGGCAGAGGCAGGTGGATCTCTGTGAGTTCGAGGCCAGCCTGGTCTACAACAGCTAGTTTCAGCACAGGCTCCAAAGCCACAGAGAAACCCTGTCTCAGAAAAAAAACAAAACAAAACAATAACTTCAAATCTAGATTGGCTTATTGGGGAAATTAAATATTGATTTTATAAAGTTTTCCTTTCATCCTCTTAATTATTTCTGTACATTTTAGCTTAGAGCATCATGCCTTTGGTGCAAATTAGTTTCTTTGCATCAGTAACAACCAGCTAGGCTGGTTGAAGTGTTGTGTGGTTTCCAGGCATTGACTTTCTAGGACAACCTAAATTTTCAATGGCTATGAAACTGGAATACGCTGGAACTCATGGAAAAACATAAGAAAAATTATTTCAAGATTGGCCTCTTTCATTTTGAATCTTATAGGTATTCATTGCTTATGATCGATTTTCTTTCTCATATTTTTTAAGAAAAGTTTTTCAGTCTCAAAAAGAGAGAAGAAAAGGTACCCTCTTCTACTAGTGATAAAAGTTTAGTGAACATTGCCTCTTAATTGATTTTGCTAATTTTAATCACTATTCATCACTCATAACAGTAAGTATATCAGTTAACATAAAAGGTGTTTTAAAAATACAAACTTTTGTCTCCTAATAGACTCTTTGAATTCAGAAAGATGATTGGAAATCGAGAAAGGTGCCAGAATCTGGTTTCAAGCGACTATCCAGTGCACATTGATAAGGTACGCCAGAACAGACTGTGCTGAAATCCTGTAGCAGTCACCGCGACAGTGCCGTGGAGTGTTTATGCATATTTAAAGAATGCTGTTTTTCCTCAGTGACGTTTTAATAATTTTACTCATAAATAATGGGGAACATATGTTTAGCATTTGCCTGAATACTCAGTATTTAGGCTGCATTTTTCTGAGTTTCATTTTGTATCCTTAGGCTCCTGAGGGTTCAATTATTCAACATTAAAGAAGAATATTAAAGAAGACTAGTAAGTATTAAAAGAGAGCAGTCTACCTGAGAATCAGCACATCAGGCATTATTGGCAAAAGTAGCTATTAGGAACTGTCAGGGTGCAACAGTAGAACGTATTACTCAGAAAGAAAATGCTCTGAACTTTGAAATTGTTGTGTTTCATAAGCAGTCAGCTGTTTTTCTATATGATCTAAATGTGTGTGATTGAGTACTTTGAGATATTATAGGAGAAGGGAAATAGATGGGTGAGTTTCCCAACCTATCCCTGACCTTGGCTGAAGTAAGTACTCTTGCATCTTTTATATATTGGATATATTTAGATTTCCTTCATCAGAAGATTTCCCCTGATAAAAAAAGAGAAACTTGTAAATGGAAACCATAGATGTTACATGTAGACTATATTTTATATTTGTCTTTGTTATTCAAATTTTGGTGAATATTTCCATTTTTTCTCTGGGTTTTTTTTTTTCTTTAAAAAGTATAGGCTCAAAAAACATTTAGGCTCTTGAGCGGACTGTGGTGGCTCACACCTTTAATCCCAGCACTCTGGAGGTAGAGTCAGGTTGATCTCAGTGAGTTTGAGGCCAGCCTGGTCTACATAGCAAGTTCCATGACAGTCAAGGCTACACAGAGAAACCCTGTCTTGAGAGGGGGAAATAAAGTATAGGCTTTTAGCCAGGTGTGGTGGCTTTTAGGAGTCAGAGGCAGGAGGATCTCTGTGGGTTCCAGGGCAGTTAAGGCTACACAGAGAGACCCTATCCCTCCCTCCACCCCTCAAAAATATATTAGTAAACTTTTATAGGCTGAGGAGATGGCTTAATGGGCAAAATCCTCATTACATCCTCATGAGAACCTGAGTTCAGATCCCCAGGACCCACCTAAAAGCCAGAGGAATCTTGGGGTCCGCTGGTCAGCTAGCCTAATAGAAACTGCAGGGTCTAGCTTAGCGAGAGACTTCGTTGCCAAAAGTAGAGCAGCCTGAATTGGGGGCATGTGCCTTTAATCCCAGCACGAAGATGACAGAGGCGGGCAGATCTCTGTGATTTCAAAGCCAGCCTGTCTATGTAACGAGTTCTAGGACAACTAGGGCCACCTCAAAAAGCAAAATACAGGAGACAAATAAGTAGAGAGCAATAAAGGAAGACATCGTGTGATGACTCTGGTCGCCCCACACACATGGGTAAGCTTGCCCACAAAGTTACATGGACAAAGAAATATGTGCACAAGTCAACGTACCAAAAGTATATAGGCTTTTTAAATAAACAGAGTATACCAAGTAAAAATCAAGTCTCTGTTTATCTCTGCCAGTCTCCACCTCCGATCCTCTTTCTGTGCTCCCAGAAAGGACAGATAATCTTTTTTTTTTAATTTATTAAACCTACTTCCCATAACTGTAATACCCATCAGAGGTGATCACAGCCTCTTAACTTTTCAATGTGTGTACTCTTTTTTTTAAAAAAAGATTTTTTATTAACTATGTATACAGTGTTTTGTTTTGCCTACATGTATGCTGCAAGCCAGAAGTGGGCACCATATCTCATTATAGATGGTTGTGAGTCCCCACCATGTGGTTTTTGGGAATTGAACTCAGGACCTCTGGAAGAGCAGTCAGTGCTCTTAACCTCTGAGCCATCTCTCTTAAGGATAGATAATCTTAACAACTTGAGTTAAGACACATCCCACCCTCAGTGTTTAAAATTTAAATTATAATGATGTGTCATAAAGTCTACCTTTTTAACATATACAGCGGAATGTTTATATTTTTTACCTAAATATATAACCATTAGCTATCAGTTACTATTTTTTTACTGTTTTATTCCATGATACTATTTTTTTTGTTTTTGTTTAATTTTTTTAATTTATTTATTTATTAAAGATTTCTGTCTCTTCCCCGCCACCGCCTCCCATTTCCCTCCCCCTCCCCCAACTAAGTCCCTCCCCTCCTCAGCCCGAAAAGCAATCAGGGTTCCCTGTCCTGTGGGAAGTCCAAGGAACCCCCACCTCCATCCAGGTCTAGTAAGTTGAGCATCCAAACTGTCTAGGCTCCCACAAAGCCAGTGTGTGCAGTAGGATCAGAAACCCATTGCCATTGTTCTTGATTTCTCAGTAGTCCTCATTGTCCGCTATGTTCAGAGAGTCCGGTTTTATCCCAGGCTTTTCCAGACCCAGGCCAGCTGGCCTTGGTGAGTTCCCAGTAAAACATCCCCATTGTCTCAGTGTGTGGGTGCACCCCTTGCGGTCCTGAGTTCCTTGCTCGTGCTCTCTCTCCTTCTGCTCCTGATTTGGACCTTAAGATTTATGTCCAGTGCTCCAATGTGGGTCTCTGTCTCTGTCTCCTTTCATCGCCTGCTGAAGGTTAATATTCAGGAGGATACCTATATGTTTTTCTTTGGGTTCTCCTTATTTAGCTTCTCTAGGATCACTAATTATAGGCTCAATGTCCTTGGTTTATGGCTAGAAACCAAATAAGAGTGAGTACATCCCATGTTCCTCTTTTTGGGTCTGGCTTACCTCACTCAGGATAGTGTTTTCTATTTCCATCCATTTGCATGCAAAATTCAAGAAGCCCTTGTTTTTTACTGCTGAGTAGTACTCTAATATGTATATATTCCATACTTTCTTTCCATGATACTATTGACCCCAAAGACACTAACACTCTGGTTAGCATTTCCCACTGGTTCTTCCCCTATATGCTGGCAGTTACTAATTTGTTACTAATTTGCTTTTTGTATCTATGGAGTCTCATATTTATGACATTTCTTATAAATGGAATTATGCAATATGTGGACTTGTCTCTTAGAAAGTATTTTAATTTATTAATTTTTCTTATTTATTGTGTTGTGTACATGGTGTATGTGGGGGAGCACCCATGCTACCTCACACATATAGCTTAGTAGATTAGAGGATTGCATCTACCCACTGCCAGTCTGTAAGACTCGTCCATGGCGTACCGTGTACCAGTATTCTTTTCTGTGACTGAATAATTTCTTATATGCTCATGAATTCATAGACATCTGGGTTGTTTTTACTGTTTGTGAGCTGGTGTAAATAATGCTACTGTTAACAGTCAAGTACAAATGTTGTGTGAACGTTCTACACAAAGTAGTTCTGTTTACTGTACGTGTGAGCCAGCACTGTACTGGAGTCCAGTGTGACCAGATTCTCACCAGCACTTGTACTTTTTTTCCCAGCATCCTAATAAAAATATCTCTGTACTTGTGTCTCCATAATATGAATGGTGTTGAACTTCTTACTATATTGGGCCAATTGTTAGGTCTTTTCAAATCCTTAGCTCGTTTTTTTAGAAAGGTGTGTGTGTGTGTGTGTGTGTGTGTGTGTGTGTGTGTGTATCTGTGTATCTGACTGGAGAGGCAGGAAGGTTTTGAATCCTCTGTACCTGGAGTTGGAGTTGTGGGCCACCTGGTATGGGTGCTAGGGACTGAACTCTCTGGTCCTCTGCAGAACAAGCGCTCTTCACTGCTGAACCATCTGCTCGTTTTCAGTTTGATTATTTATCTGCTGAGTTGTGTCTTGCCCTGTCTTTTCTGAGTTTGTGTCTAACTTAAGGTGTCTGTATTCCTCGCAGCCAGCCTCACATTGCCTGTTGAATTATTCCCTTTCACGTTAGTCGCCGCTGTCCTCTGTATTAGTTAGTGAGATGGTAGTTTCTGATGCCTCTTTTATCAACTTAGTTTTCTAAGATATATGCAAAAATGGGTTTTGTTGTGATTTTGAGACAGGATCTCACTGTGTAACCCTGACTGGCCTATAATTCACTATGTAGACTAGGCTTACCTTGAACTCACAGAAATCTGCCCGCCAGAGGTGTACAGCATCACACCTGGGCAGGAAGTCTTAAGCTATAGAAAACAACATAAAAATCAAATGAAGGATATTGCTCCCTTTGAAGCCTTCCTACTCCTGAGAGTTCTTTCTCATATTTTCTTTTTTCTTTTAAGATTTTTTTTTAAATGTTTCAGTGTTCATCTGCGTGTATGTCTGCAGGCCAGAAGAGGGCACCAGATCTCATTACAGATGGTTGTGAGCCACCACGTGGTTGCCTGGAATTGAACTTGGGACCTTTGGAAGAGCAGGCAGTTCTCTTAACTGCTGAACCATCTCTACAGCTCTTCTCATTTTTTTCTTACTAAACCTATGTTCATGCTTAAAAAGGGAGGGAGGAATTCTTGGATTACAAATTTAGTACTTTTACAGATTTATTTTTCCTTAAGCATTTTTTTACTCCAACGCAGCTTCAATTAATCATTGTAGAATTTGGAGAGCTGAGGATATAGATTGTGGATAGACAGGATTTTTTTTTAAATATTTATTTATTTATTATGTATATAATATTCTGTCTGTGTGTCTGCCTGCAGGCCAAAAGAGGGCGCCAGACCCCATCACAAATGGTTGTGAGCCACCCTGTGGTTGCTGTGAATTGAACTCAGGACCTTTGGTAGAGCAGGCAGTGCTCTTAACCTCTGAGCCATCTCTCCAGCCCCGATAGATAGGGTTTTTGCTTAGCTTGCACAGGCCTGGGGGGTTGGATACCCAGTACTGTATAAAACCTGTTGAAAGACGCCCTTGTCTTTACAGTGAGTTCAAAGCAAGTCTGAGTTACACACAAAGATGATACGTAGTATATAAAGTTAAAGCTGTCTCTGTTTGGGGAAAAGACAGTACAAGCCGAGCAGGAATACTCTGAAAAGGAAGAATGACAAAGAGATTAATATAATCATATATATAAATGAGTATTGTAAACCTGCACTTAACTGACATAGTATTTTGTTTGTATTTTGAGACAGGGTTTTTCTGTTTTTCTTTGGAGCCTGTTCTAGAACTTGCTCTGTAGACCTGGCTGGCCTCAAACTCCAGAGATCTCTCTGCCTCTGCCTTCAGAGTGCTGGGATTAATGATATGCACCACCACTGCCTGACTCTGATATAATGTTTTACTGGTGCAAAAATATAGGCTGATTAGAATCTGATAACCAAACCTTTGTAACACAGTGTGTGGTGAAATAGTGTTTTAACCTTTTAAAAACTTTTTCAATTGTTAAATAGATATTTCTTCAACAATCTACATTTTGTAGTTCATTCTGTTTTTTGTTTGTATGGTTTTTTTTTTTTGAGGTGGGGTGTTTTGGGGTTTTTTGTTGTTGTTTTTGTTTTTGAGACAGGGGTATCCTGGAACTCACTCTGTAGGCTAGTCTGGCGTTGGAGTCACAGAGATCTGCCTGAGTGCTGGGATTTAAAGGTGTGCTTCATGAACACCCAGCTTGTTTGTGTTTTTTAATGGTAGGGACAAGGAATGTAGTTATTTTATTGGTAGAATGCCTGCTGTGTGGAAGAGAACCCTCTTACTAATGTTAATTCACAGACACAATGCTGGATTTGAAGAACTGAAGACACTAACGTGGATGAGTTTTTTTGTTTGCTCATTTGTTTTGTTGTTGCTGTTGTTTTTAGTGTTTTTTATGTGATAATTTCCTGCCACTTTAATTTGACCTTTGACCCGAAATAGGGCTTTTTTTTTAAAAATTTATTTTAAAGAATAACTTCTTGAGAAGGAAGCATAGATAGTGAATGTTAGCCAAATTGCCTTTTTGGTGTGAACTTTTTTTTTAAATTTTATTTAACTTTATTTTATATGCATTGGTGTGAAGGTGTCAGGTCCCCTGGAACTAGATCTTCAGACAGTTGTGGGCAGCCATGTGGGTGCTGAGAATTGAACCCAGGTCCTCTGGAAGAGCAATCAGTGCTCTTAACCACTGAGCCATTTCTCCAGCCCCTGGTGTGAACTTTTTGCGACAAGGTCTTGCTATGTAATCCATGCTTGCTTTGAATTTGTGAGGCTCCTGGCTCAGCTTCAAACCATAGTGACTTTAAGCCTGTGTTACCATGGCTGCCTGTAAATTGTCATTATTACAGATAGAAATCCCCTTTTCTCCTTACACAATGCACCAGCAGGTAGTGTGACATCAGACCACTCTGAATACTTGATATCAGCTTAGACTGTAACAATTATTGCTGCTTCTAAGTTGTACTTTTGATTGCTTTTATATTGTTGAATGCTTTTGATTGTTTTTGTTTTTGTGGTTCCTAGAGTTGAACCCAGGATCTTCCTGCTAGCCTTGTGCTCTTATACTAAGCCATACTCCTAGTCTTCTTGAATGGTACTGAATTTCTTTAGCTTGTATTTTATTTTGAGACATTGTGTGCCAGTGTGTGAATTAAATTTATTGTTTCCCAACTAGACTCTAGAGTAGAGAGAAAACAAATATGTGTAAATAGAAGGTGTCTTTAAAAAGGCATGAATGATGGCTAATTCCCTGTTAGGTAAATATAAATGGAGGAGTTTGAAAGAAAAGCATGAAACATTGCAGAAGATATCAGTTATATGATATTCTTTAAATAAATATGAAAGTATAAGTAGTCTTGAATAAAAATATGTCTTTTGGTGGGAAAAAGCAGTGGTTTAGAAGGAAATACAGTAAGCACTGAAAAAGTTATTGGTGCTAAGGATATATCTCAGTTCTTGTGGTAAAAATGAGACTCAAGGGGGCTGGGGAGATGGCTCAGAGGTTAGGACCACTGACTGATCTTCTAGAGGATCTGGGTTCAGTTCCCAGCACCAACATTACAGCTCACAACTGTCTGTAACGCTAAGATCTGACAATCTCACATAGACATACATGCAGTCAAAACATCAATGCACGTAAAATAAAAATAAATAAATTATAAAAAATGAGGCTTAAGTACAAGAACTGAGAGAATGTTAGTTTTTAGTTGAATAGATTTTTATCATCAAAAAGTCCATGAGAGACTGATACCTTAGTCTACTTTGCATACACCTTGGTTTTCTTTTCTTTTAGGTTGAAGAACAGTCAGATTGTAAGATCCTAGATGGACACTTTGTTTCTCCCATGGCCCACTATGTGCCTGGTATCATGCCAATTGAGTCAGTTATTGCAAGGTAAGCATCTGTTCAGCAAGGGAGATGAGTGAGTTCATTCCAGCAGCGTGTCCACAGGTGCTGAGTACACGTAAGTACTGCTGTGTGCACAGAGTGTGGACGATGCCCTGAATGTCCACACTGGGAGATTAATTACCCTCTCATGCCTACTGCTGACATGGAATTAAGGTTGTACTGCATGATGCTTAAGAAGTCAACACCGGGGGCTGGTGAGATGGCTCAGCGGTTAAGAGCATTGCCTGCTCTTCCAAAGGTCCTGAGTTCAATTCCCAGCAACCACATGGTGGCTCACAACCATCTGTAATGAGGTCTGGTGCCCTCTTCTGGCCTTCACGCATACATGCAGAAAGAATATTGTATACATAAAAATAAATAAATATTAAAAAAAAAGAAGTCAACACCGTTTTCATAAAAATCCAGACATGCACATAGTCACATAGAAATATTTCCAAAGGATTTTAATCATGTGCCAGCTCTGCTCATTTCAGATTTTCACTTTGAGAGGTAGTGACATAGCTTGGAGGGTAAAGTCACCTCACCAGTTCCCAGGACCCAAACAATAGGAGAGAATTTCCACAAGTTGTCCTCTGATTTCCACATGTGTGCCCATACACGTACACACACAATTAATAAAATTTCATTTTTAAATGCCTTTGATGATGTGGCTGTAGAGGTGGCTTAGCAGTTAAGAGCAATGGCTGTTCTTTCAGAAGAACTAGGTTCACTTCCCAACACCCACATCCTGGCTCACAACCATCTAGAACTCCTGCTCTGGAGGATCCCATGCTCTTTTCTGGCCTCTGTAGGCATTGCATGAACATAGTGTAAGACATTAGTGCAGGCCAAATACTCATGCACATAAAGTGAATTTTTTTTTTTTTTAATTTCTGTGATTCTGAGCTGGAGAGGTGGTTCAAAGGTTAAGAGCACTGGCTGCTCTTTCACAGAACCCAGACTTAATTTCTAGCACCAACATGGCTACTGGAAACTAGGGGTAACTAACACTGAAGAAACTCCCAAATGATCTGTGCCCTCTGCTGGCCTTCATAGTATGCATTTGATGCTCAGACATAACATGTATTCAGGTAAGTAACTGCTCATACATATAAAATAAAAATCTCAAGTCAGATGTGATGGCACATGCCTTTAATCCCAGCACTCAGGAAACAGATCCAGTAGATCTCTTTGAGTTCTAGGTCATACTGGTCTGCATAGTGAGTTCCAGTTCCAAAAGGGCTAACTAGTGAGACCCTGTCTCAAAAAATAGGTAAATAAATAAATGAAATTAATTAATTAAATCTCAAAAATATTTTCTGTGATTGTTTATGCACTCTGAGGTTACTGGAGTACATAAGCCACCCCTGGCTTTTACATGGTACTGGAGTCCAAACTCAGATCTTCCCCCTGGGGCATTTCTCAGTCTCCCCCTGCTCTCCTCCTACCCTTTGTTTGTTTGAGACAGGGTCTCGGGCTGGAGAGATAGTGTTAAGAGCACTGGCTGCTCCTCTGGAGGACCCAGGTTCATTTCCCAGCATCTGCATGGCAGCTCACAACTGTCTGTAACTCCAGTCCCAGGGATTGCCATACCTTGACACCAATGCACATAAATTAAACTTAAATTGATTATTAAGAAAGAGAGTGAGAGAGAGTTGCTATGTAACCCTGACTGTCCTGGAACTCATCAAGTAAACCAGATTGGACTCAAACTCACTGAGAAGCAGGCAGAGTTCATGGCCAGCCTGCTCTACAGAGCAAGTTCCGGGACAGCCAGGTCTACACAGTAAAACTCCTGTCTCAAAAAACCAAAACAACAAGAACAACAAAAGCCAAACAAAGTGGGAGCCAATATAACTCTAACTATTGTAGTTAATATTATGTCTTTACTCTAAAATATTGTAAATTTTATGCATTTCTATTTTACTTTATGTGTGGGGTGTTTCGCTAACGTGTGTGTCTGCGTCATGTGTTTTGCCTGGTACCCAGGAGGTGAGGTCGAAGGGTGTGTCTCACCTTGTGGATGCTTGGAGTTGAGCTTGGGTTCTCTAGGGCTCTTAACTGCTGAACTGTCTTCCCAGACCTGGGTTTTTGGTTTTGGTTTTGGTTTTGGTTTTTTCTTTTATTAACCTCTAAATAAAATGCAAGCAGTGTTGTATAGAGCAAAGAACAAGGACTTTGGCATTAAACAGTTTGAACTGAACCCTGGCTCCGCTACTTATTAATCCAGTGACCTTAGGGCCAGATTGTTCTCTGAACATATATTATAAAATAGAGATGACAACACTTCATCTCTTGTGGTTGTTAGAAGAGTTAAGTGATAGGAGGGATGAAAATCTTATTGAGTGCCTACAAAAAACACTAAATAAACACACAGTTCTTTAGACTATATATTAGCAATACATGGTAAAGGTATTGCTGTTTCTGCATACTGTAATTATGCTCCTTGGATCTGTGTGCTGTTTTAACTTATCAGTCTTCTCCAGAAAACTGTATAGGTTAAGATGACTGGAGGAAGGAAGGGGAGACTCAGTTTGAGAAATAATATAATTTCAACATTATCAAGAGTTAAAGAAATTCTTTATTTTGATGAAAAGAACAATAATCGGGAAACTACCAACTTTTAACAGTGCTATAGCATTTATTTTTTATGTTTTTAAAGAGTGTTTGAGAAACAGTCAATATTTAGCCCAGGCTAGCCTCAAAACTGTCAGGCTTCTTGCCTCAGGCTCCTAGGTGCTGATTGGCAGTGCATTAATCTTAAAGCATCATTTATTTTGATGACTAGAAATTCCCACTGATGCACACTGACATCTGGTTTTCTCTTCTTTACCCATCTATTTGGGCAGGGTGTTTGTAACTTACATCGTTGCATTAAAGTATAACAAAATGCAAATAAGAGAAAGTCAAAGTATTAATAATTCCAACACAAAGAGATCATTGCTATTTTACATATATCATCACCTTTTTTTCTTTGCTATCCATATACAAAGTTGCTTATTTTCTTTTTAGCCTAACCAATCAGTGAATAGATAGTCTGTTATCATGTTAGTAGCTGATTGGTATTCCCTGCTGTGGCGCTACCATGATTTTCTAATTCTCCAAAGCACATAATTAAATTGCATGTTTTGTCCATTTGAGCAGCCTAATAGTAAACGCCCTTTCATACATCTTTTACCTGACTATTTTCAGAGAATTTCTGGGGTTTTTGAGGAGGGTGTATTTATTTTTTGTTTTGTTTTGTTTGAGACAAGGTCTCTCTATTATGTAGCCCTGGCTGTCCTGGTACTCACTATGTAGACCAGAGTGATCTTGAATCAGAGAGAGCCACCTGCCTCTGCCTCATGAGTGCTGGAATTAAAGGCACATACTACCATGCCTGATACAAATTTCTGGGTTTGTAAGACTGTGTAGATTTTAAACTTTTATCATATTGTCATATAAGTAGGAAATGTTATTTAGAGCCCATAAGAAGAAACTTGTGCCCTCTTGTTACTTAGTTCATTTCCTGTGATTCTGTCTCTTTGACTTTGTGCTTTTATGATGACTGATTTAAAAAAAAAATATCAGGCCTGATGGTGCCAGCACACACATTCAATCGCAGCACTTGGGAGGCAGAGGCAGGCAGATCTCTGTGAGTTCAAGGCCAGCCTGATCTACCAAGCAAGTTCCACGACAGCCAGTACTGTAAAACAGAGAAACCCTGTCTTGAAAAACAAAACAAAAATCTGAGGAGCAAATGGGGGGTGGGATGAGGAAAAGGTGGGGGAAACAGGAGGAGAGAAGGGAGGGGGAACTGGCATTGATATCTTTTTTTTAATATTTATTTATTATGTGTGCAATATTCTTTCTGTGTGTATGCTTGAAGGCCAGAAGAGGGCACCAGATCTCATTACAGATGGTTGTGAGCCACCATGTGGTTGCTGGGAATTGAACTCAGGACCTCTGGAAGAGCAGGCAATGCTCTTAACCGCTGAGCCATCTCTCCAGTCCCATTGATATCTTTTTATAAATACGTGAGGCAGGACTGAAGAAATGACTCAAGGTTAAGAGCCCTGGCTGCTCTTCTAGAGGACCTGGGTTCAATTCCCAGCACACACAGCTGTAACTCCAGTTCCAGGGGACCCAACACCCATGGCAAAACACCAGTGCACATAAAATAAAAATAAATTAAAATTTTTTTGAGACAGAGAGATAGAGAGAGAGAGAGAGAGAGAGAGAGAGAGAACTGACTATTCTTCCAGTGAACTTGAGTTCAATTCCCAGAATGCATATGGTGGTTCACAGCCATCTGTAACTCCAGTTCCAGGGGATCTGATGCCCTCTTCCGGCCTCCACAGTCACCACATGCATGCGGTCCTTAAACTAATCCAGATGTCCGAAATAAAAATCTCAGAAGATTTCTTGAGAAAAATGAAGAGAAGGATCTCCAACATTCTTCTTTTTCCTTTCCTTACTGTTTTCAAATTGTGTTATATCAAAAAAAATTGTGTTATATCGATCTGTAGTGATATTTCTAAATCAGTAGGCGTAATGTTAAGCATATATACATTTTGTTTGCTTCGTTTGATCTGTTAAGACAAGGATCTAAAGTAATTTTAGCCAACCTCAAAATCGTTGTAGATGGCTCAGCAGATAAGAGTTCTTGCCGCTGTTGCAAAGAACTGGGTTTCAGTTCACAGCACCCCTACTTGGGGGCTCACGGTGGCTTATAGTTCCCGCTTCTGAGTGTCTGATGCCTTCTGGCCTCCATGGGATCCCAACACATGTAATCTTAAAAACTACAATAACCCTCTTTGTGTTGGGTGTGGTGGCACACACTTTTAATACCAGCGCTTGGAAGATATGCAGATGGCTCTCTAAGTCCCAGGCAGGCAAGGGCTATATATTAAAATCCTGTCTAAAACCAAAAAAAAAAAAAAAAGAAAAGCCTCATTATGTACACCTTTAATCCCAGCAACCACACTAATTAGCCTTAGAGGCTGGGTGGTGGTGGTACAGGCCTTTAATCCCAGCACTAGAGAGAACTATAAAATGGGAGGAGACAGGTCTCACACTCAGTCTCATTCTGAGGATTTGTGGAAGTAGGATCACCATTTCAGTTTGAGGTAGTGGTAAGAGCCAGTGACTAGCTGCTTTGCTTTTCTGATCTTCAAATTGAACCCCAATATCCATCTCTGGGTTTTTATTACTCGTGCTACATTATCTTACCTAGGATGTGGGGGTGGGGGTTGGTATATGGATCCACATGTGGGTGGTAGCCATAGGTTCACCTCCCATATTGTTGTGCAGGAATTATCCACCTTTTTTCTTAAAATGTGTCTCAAGGACCTAGGGTTTACAGATTAGACTAGGCTAGCTGGACAGCAAGACTCAAGGATCTGCCTGACTCTACTTCTCCAGTACTGGGAACACAAATGAATACCACACCTGGCTTATTATCTATTTATTTTTTTAAGATGGTCTCATCTATGCTGTGTAGCTGAGGATTGCTTTGTACTTCTGATCCTCCTGCCTCTAGTTCCTGAGTGTAGAATTGTAGGAATATGCGCTTATGGCCAGTTTTATGTTTTGCTGGAGATTGGACCCAGACCTTTGCATGTGAATGGAGCTTTCCACCAACCGAGCCACCTCCCCAATCTTTACATTGGTGGAACTAACATACACTTGCTTGCATCTCTTGTCTCTGACATGCATCGGGGCACACCTACATATGTACATATACATACAAAAGTAAATAAGTAAATGTAAATCCACTGACCCATCCTGTTAGAGAATTTAATTATAATACTTTTTAAATTGAAAGTTTAGAGCCAGGCATGATGAGTCACACCTGTAACCCCAGCAATTGGGATGCTCAGGTGGGAGGAGGACCACAAGGTTGAGGCCAGCCTGAGCTACATAGTAAGTTCCAGGCCAGCCTGAGCTGTAATGGCAAGACCCTCTCCATAAATTAACTATACATGTATAGTTTGTAGCTAAAGCTCATTAAGGAAGGTTTCATTTCTTTTTTTTATAGGTTCCAATTTATTGTGCCTAAGGAATGGAACAGCAGATACAGACCTGTGTGCATTCATCTGGCTGGAACAGGAGACCATGTAAGACTTCAACTCTAGGAAACCCTCAGCACGTCTTCTCAGCACTTGCTATTGTGTTCTAAGTGTGCCATCTCTCTCCTTAGCATTACTGGAGGCGCAGGACTCTCATGGCTCGTCCTATGATTAAGGAGGCCCGAATGGCTTCATTGTTGCTAGAAAACCCTTATTATATCCTTTTGTTCTATTTTAAAAGTTTCTTTATATCTTTATTTATATATTTACTCTTCAAAAGAATAATCAGTAGTGCTTTTTTTTTAAGATTTTTGTTTCAATTATTTTCTGAGACAGGGTTTCTTTGTAGTTTTAGAGCCTGTCCTGGAACTAGCTGTTGTAGACCAGGCTGGCCTCGAACTCACAGAGATTCACCTGCCTCTGCCTCCCGAGTGCTGGATTAAAGGTGTGTACCACCACCACCCAGCAAGAATTACTTATTTTATTTTATGTGTATGGGTATTTGTCCTGTACATATGCCTGTGTACCATATGTGTGCTCAGTGTTTGTGGAGACCAGAAGAGGGTGCCAGATCCCCTGGAACTGATACTACAGTTGTGAGCTGCCTTGTGGTACTGAGAATTGAACCCAGGTACCCTAGGAGAACATCCAGTGCTCTCCACTGCTGAACCAGCTCTCCAGCCCCAGTGGTAACTAACTTTTCAAAACTAGTTAAATCCAGTATAAGGTCCAAAAATATTTAAAAATCAAGAATGTAAGATTATTTTACACATTTTAAAAGGAAATGTAATGAAAAGTAGCAATCAGGAGTTCAAGACCAGCCTGAGCTACAAAAAAAAAAAAATCCCTGCCAAAAGAATATATATAAAAAATATAAAGGCCAGGTGTGGTGGTGGACGACGCCTTTGATCCCAGCACTTTGGAGGCAAAGGCAGGCAGATCTCTGAGTTTGAGGCCAGCCTAGTCTACATAGCAATTTCTAAGACAGCCAGAGCTACCTGTCTCAAAATAAGTAAAGAATGCATCATATATGGTGTCTCTTTCCTATCATTCCAGGTGCTCAGGAGGTTGAAGCAGGAAGGTTGTGAGTTAGAGCCAGCTTAGGCTTCATAGTGAGACTAACATAATATTTTAATGCTATTTATAATAATGATAAATTGTATTGTATTTCTTGAGGTTCTTATGCTGGACTTAATAAGTCAAATGTTCGCTATTAAAGAAATGATCATTTCCAAATATATTTATCGTAAAGGGGAAGATCTAGAACAATACTTAATTTTCAAGATGACATTAGACTATTCATAGAAGAAAATAAACTGATACACAACATACCTAGTAATAAAAGAAATGTAAAGTTCAACAATTACCAGTGTTTCTTACATGACAAACACAGTATTAGGAAAGCTCCTGTGAAGGGGAACTGAGTGCAAATGACTGAGAATCAGTTTAGCTCCAGACAAAAGTAATTTTAATACCTGGATTAGGAGACTTAAAACATCTCACATCTGCCTGGGGAGATTGCTCAGTCTGCTAGCCAAGGTCCTACACACAAACCCCGAGACCCTCATTCAGAGCCCCAGAACTCTCATGAAAGAGCACGACCTTGGCACACATCCCTAACCCCAGTACTGGGGAGGCGGAGACAGATTCCTGGAGCTCATTGGCCAAGGTGAACAGTGATTGATGAAGATGCCAGTGACAACCTCTGGTCTCCACATGAACCAGCGTACACACGCGCGCGCGCGCACACACACACACACACACACACAGAGCCAGCTCACAGCTGGGCAAAGGTGTGGCTGGGTGATAGGGTGGCCTAGCATGTGAACTCCTGGATTCAAGCTCTTCATGTACTACCAAGGGGAAAATAAGGAAAAAATAATCTCTCAGATCTCTTGACAGAGTTTTGTGGGTTTTTTTTTTTTTCAGTTTGGCAAATTTATTCTAAGAACATAGTACAAAACAAAAGAAAGTTTAAACACCACACATAGAAAATATGCTAATATATCTTTGCTTATATAAGACAATAGAAGTGAATGTGCCCTGAGAGAAACCGCTGAGGGACCTGGTTCCTAACACTGGAGTGCATGCAGATAGTTGTGTTGTTGTTGCTCGGCAGTGTGCCCTCAGACCCGCCACTTACCTTTTCGGGTCTGTTTCCCACGTTTAGGTGGGATGATTTCTTAGATACTACAGCTTAGAATAGTATTGGTTGGGTAAATAGTAAGCATTTGTTAAGTTTAAATAAAAGCTTACTGTGTGAAAGCAGGATGTAAAAGCGGGGCGTTGGACCATGTTCTCTTGGTGACAGAACAAATGCACAGGTTCTTGGCAAATCCACGGCACCTAAAGCTGTCAGAAACAACCCAAACCATGTGCATCTGTAAAGTAGCTTTGAATACTTTTCTAGATTCCCTGGATTTATGAAATAAACATTTGTATCAAAAAACTGGGCAATAGTGATACACACCTTTAATTCCAGCACTCGGGAGACAAAGCCAGGTGAACCTCTGAGTTTGAGGCCAGTCTGGTCTAAAGTGAGTACCAAGACAGCCAGAGCAACACAGAGAAACCCTGACTTCAAAAGAAGAAAAAAAAATCAATAAATTACATTTTAAATATAAATTTAAGATTATATAACTTTGTAAGTATACTGAGTATATTAATTTATAAATTTCAAATAAGTGAATTACTTGGCTTGTGATTATATCTCAGTAAAGCTTTGTAATTAAGAAAAATAACTAAGTTGAAATATCTGAAAACTTCTAAACAGCTTTTGAAGTCACTGGGAAAGTAGTTATTTGGGTGTTATATTCAAATTTAACTTTTGTGCTTAAATAATATGTTCTGAGATGAGTATATTTAATTATTTTAAAACTTTCTCTTTGACCCATCTTCTCAAATGGCTGCAGGAAGCCCAAGGACCAAGTGTAAGTATCTGTCACTTTTACTGTCATTATTTCTGCAGTGTTTAGGACAAGTGCTTGGTAGTCTTTAGTTAACCATTTCTTCAATTGCTTGTAAAACTTAGTAAGAATATTGACTTTAATTCTTATTTTTTAAGATTTTGACATTTTAATGTCTAGTAAGGTGACAGATTTAGAAAGCTTAGAGGCTGATTCAAATTATGTCTTATTTGTGAAACCATACCTGAACAAAAGGTAAGACTTTGTTGTTTTCAAATACATTTTTAAAATCAGTGTGTGTGTGTATGTGTGTGTATGTGTGTTGGGCAGGGGGTTGGTATTAGCATGTGAATGTAGGTACGCATAGAATCCAGAAGAACATTGGATCCCCTGGAGCTAGAATTACAGGTGGTTGTGAGTCATCTACTATGAATGATGAGAACCAAATCCAAGTCCTCTGCAGATTGATGACACTGGACCTGCTTTTATGAAAAGGGCAAACTTTGTCCTTACTGGAATACTTACTCTGGTTATGGATTTTCCTTTCCTGCACATAATGCTTCTGCCAAAACCACCAGCATGGACTTAGACAATGCCTTACCCTCCGTTGTGGTTTTCCACACAGCACTGCATCTGACCAACGAACTCACTTCACAGCCCATGAAATGTGACAGTGGACCTGTGCTCATAGGATCCACTGGTCTTACCACGCTCCCCACCATCCTGAAGCCGCCTTTTGAAGACATTTACCATGTCTGCTAGGTGGCAATAGCCAGGAGGGTTGGGACAGAGTTCTCCAGAAGGAAGTATAAGCTTTGGAGCAGCATCCAATGGGCCTTGCTTACTGTGAGGACTAGGTTAGAATGAACTTTGTTGAACTGTGAAAATTACAGTCAAACTAAATAGTTCAAGAATTTTCAGTCTGGAGACAAACCCTGAACTCAAATATAGGAGGTACATATGAGCTCTCTGCTAACCTGAGCTGCATAGGAAGCCTCTGTCTCAGGAAGAAAACCAGCAACACTAAATATAACTGTGAAGCAGTGAAATGGCTGAACTGTCAAAATCAATTGCTGCACAAGCTGGCAACCTAAGTTCAATCCCTGGAACCCAGATAAGGTTGAAGGAGAAAACTGGTTCCATTCCATCCACAAAGTTGTCTTCTGCCTTCTGCACACACCGTGGCGTGCATACATGTGCACATGCACCAACAGACACCTGTACACAGTAACCTCTCAGCTTTCTAAAGTATTAAAAATGTAAATGTATGAAATAAATCATTTTCTATTTTGTTTTGTGAGGCTAGAAGATCCAGCTTAAAAAATGTGTCTGACCTGTTTGTGATGGGAGGTGCTCTTATTCTGGAGTCGGCAGCTCTCTTGCACTGGTTGGAGAGGGAAGGTTATGGACCTCTCGGAATGACTGGAATATCCATGGGAGGACATGTGAGTCTTTTCAGCTTATATTTCATTACCATTGTGTTTTTAAATAAGGGTAATTTTAAGTGTACTTAAAGCATGAATTTAATGTTGGTGAAAATACGCAGTAGTAATAGCTCCAATGATGAAGTAATGTTATTTTGTAAAATTTAGGTAGACAAACATATATTGTACAACTCCAGATATAACTCAGATTTTGGATTTAATACTTTATTAAATGCTAATTACTGGGCTGGAGAGATGGCTCAGTGGTTAAGAGCACTGTCTGTTCTTCCAAAGGTTCTGAGTTCAATTCCCAGGAACCACATGGTAGCTCACAACCATCTGTAATGAGATCTGATGCCCTCTTCTGGCCTGCAGGGATACATGGAGACAGAATACTATAACGTAATAAATAAATAAATCTTTTTAAAAAAAATGCTAATTACAAAGCCACGCAGTGAGCTGGGCAGTGTGATGCATGACTTTAATTCCAGCACTTGGGAGTCACAGGGATCTCTGTGAATTCAAAGCCATCCTGGTCTACAAGAGTGAGTTCCAGGACAGGCTACAGAGAAACCCTGTCTTGTAAAACCAAAAATAAAGAAAAAAGAAAAGAAGCCCTGTTTCAAAAAACAAAAGTCAGGCAGTGGTGGTTCAAACCTTTAATCCTAGATCTCGGGAGGCAGAGGCAGGAAGATCTCCATGAGTTCAAGGCCAGCCTGGTCTATGAGAGCGAGTTCAGGACAGTCTCAAAAGCTACAGATAAACCCTGTCTCGAAAAAAACAAAACAAAATCTAACTTTTCAAGGGTCTTTTCAATATACAAAGTATACCCTTACTTTTGCTACTGGTTAGAAGAGAAATGAATTTGAAGGTGCTCTTTAATTTTTTAGTGTATATTAATTGTCCAACATAATAGGTTTCATTGTGACATTTCCATTGTACCTCTCTCAGCGCCTTCCACATCCTCACTACCTCCCTACCCATCCAATCCTCACTCTTTCTCTTTCTATAAAAAACAAGCAAACACATACACATACACAAACAAAAAAATGCACATAAACAACCCCACCCAAAAAAAAACTGAAACCATAGACAAATTATCTTGACCAATAATACAAAAAAATGTCCAAACAAAGCTAGTTGAGATTTTGAAAAGTCTACAAAAATACCATTAATTTGTTTTGTATTGGCCATCTACTCCTGGTCATGGGACCTGGGAGGAGACTTATTTTTCCCCCTTTTCAGTGGGTACCAATTGTAGACAGCTTCTTGGTTAGTGACTCCAAATCAGCTTCTCTCTCTCAGAGCTGGTACCCAGTCTGATCTGAACCTGTTGAGGCCCTGTGCATGCTACTAGTCTCTGTGATTTCATATATGTATTCATTTTGTTGTGTCTGGAAGACTCTGTCTCCTTGGAGAGTCATTCACTGCCTCTGGCTCTTAACAATCTTCCCACCTCCTCTTCGCTTCCTTCTGCTCTACATAGGCCCCTGAGCTCTGAGGACAGGACTGATGAAACCATCCCATTTAAGGCCAAATGCTCCAAAGTCTCTTGTTTGTTTTGTTTGTTTGTTTTTCAAGATGAGGTTTTTCTTTGTAGCCCTTGCCATCCTGGAACTCACTCTGTAGACCAGGCTGACCTCAAACTCAGAGATCTGCCTGCCTCAGCCCCACTCCCCACCTCCCACCCCCCACCCCCCAGTGCTGGGATTAAAGGCTTGTGTCACCACCGCCTGGCCCAATGTCTCCTACCTGTATGCTGTGCAGTTGTGGGTCCCTGTTAGTTCTCATCTACTGCAAGAAGAACCTCTGATAAGGGCTAAGTGAAATACTGATCTGAGTCCCAGACTCATTCTTTGAAGTTTTTCCTCTCTGGTATAACTTGAATGCTCTAAGTCAGATTTTTGCTTTCTCCTGCTCAAAATGTGCCAGCTTGCTTCACAGGACTATAGCCAGGTCTCTCTAGTGCCCCCTTGTGCCATCTTGTAGCCAAACAACAGCTTTACAGCTTCCTTCCCACCAGAAGCCCTTTTTGGAGTTTCAGCTTCACCTGCCAGCTGTGCTTCATTCCTCAGTCCATTTCCACACTGTGCCATAATTGCTTGCTGTGCTCTCTCTTTCCTCCATGAAGCATGTAGGTAGTACCTGAAATGTGTCTGGTCACATAAATGTATTTGTCATTACGTGTGTGTGTGTGTATTTTATATATTTATAAATGAATTTAAAGTTTGCTATAGATGATCACTTGAATTATAAAAACTTAAATTCACAGTGTTACTCAGAGCCAGGTGTAGCAGAAGCATGCTTATGACCCCAGCACTGGAGAGGCTGAGGGAAAAGAGCTCCAGTGTGCAGCAGAAGCAGCCTGTGTGCACAGCAAGACGAGCTCAAAAACATTCGTAACGAAGCCTTTATAGTTTCTTGCTTACTAAAAGGAATTTGTATGTTGTTGAATTTATAATTTGGGGGCATTCTATAAATGTTATACAGCCCTTGTGTTCCTGTCTTCTCTCACCTACTCCTAACAAAGTACTTTTTAGTATTTTTCACATTAATGAATAGAAACTCTCTAAATTACTTTTGTCATGTTACAGATGGCCTCCTTAGCAGTTTCCAACTGGCCCAAGCCCATGCCATTGATTCCATGCCTGTCTTGGTCCACCGCATCTGGGGTCTTCACTACGGTAATTGAATTGTGCTTGAAACTTGATAACGTGTACTTAAATATAGTTACCGTGGTGGTCCCCAGAATCACCCCTAGGTGTTGTGCCTGCTGGAAGGAATAAGAGAACACACACACCTCTATATATAGAGAGAGAATGCTTAACTGTAGCAAAAAGATATGACAGAAAATCAACAAAAGGCACATGAGCTAAACTTAGCGTAGGCTTCCAAGGGTCCTTGCTCAGCTGAATCTCATGGCTTATTGCTTAATTCCTCCAGCAATCACTTGTACCAGGTGGCAAAATGCTGCTCATCTTTGAGCCTCTCGGACTTAAGGGTCTCTGGTTAAATACCCCCCACCTTGAGTGTCCCAGCAGTTGAGAAGAAATTTCAGACTTGTACAAACCGTGTGACTACAGTGGCCCACTCTAGCCTTTAGAGAAAGTTGCATATCAGTGTAAAAGCTGCTTATTGATCAAATTCCCAGACTCCACTTAAATATATCGGCAGGCCTTTCAAAGAATAGATTATTAACTCTCTTATACAGTAATTAATAAACATAAAGGTATTATGCAGACTATGTCATGATTTAATTTTACTTTATTTTAGGGTGTATTGAGTAAATCTATTAATTGGCGGGAGCTGGAAAAGCAGTATTACACACAGACAGTTTATGAAGAAGAAATTATTCATATGCTAGAGTACTGTGGGGTAAGTTTTCTGTTTGTTTGGTTGGTTGGTTTTGGGTTTTTGGAAATAAGGGTTTCTCTGTGTAATAGCCCTGACTATCCTAGAAGTCACTTTTAGACCAGATTGGCCTCCAACTCAGAGATCCACCTGCCTTCACCTTCCCAAATACTGGGATTAAAGACATGGGCCAACACACCCAGCTGGAGTATTTTAATATTCATGTAACATTGGAGTAAAGGTTGATTACATATTTAGTTATATAAAGAAAATGGCAATTTTTTAAAGAAATACATACTTTTAAACTTAGGAATTACTCTTCTTTGTCTAAGCATGGTGATACATGCCTGTAATCCAAACATTTGGAAGCTAAGGCAGAGAGATTGTGAAGGCGATTCTTCATTTTAGGCAGAAGTACAACAAGTGTGAGGCCAGCCTGGACTATATAACAAGAAAACATTTTTTCCCCTTGATTTTGTTATTAGTTTGTTTGTAAAGACAGGGTCTCTCTATGTAAGTCCAGGCTGGCCTCTGCCTTCTTAATGCCTGATTGCAAGCATTTACGACTATGCCTAATTTCAAAAATGTTTTTAATTATAAGCATAGAGGTGCACACCTTTAGTCCCAATATGAAGAGGCAGAATCGGGTGGAACTCTGGGAGTTCACAGGCAGCCTGGTCTACATACTGAGTTTCTCTTCTTTTTTCTTACTTTTTTTATCCTTTGGTTTTTTTAAGACAGGGTCTCTCTCCAGCTTTGGGCCTGTCCTGGAACTAGCTCTTGTAGACCAGGCTGGCCTCCAACTCACAGAGATCCGCCTGTCTCTGCCTCCCAAGTGCTGGGATTAAAGGCTTGCACCACCAGTGCCCAGCAAGTTCTTTATCTTTTATGCACAAAAAATACATCCTGGTTATTCACTTCAGTTAACAAGAAGCAGAACTACAGAAACCAAAAAGCAAGGTTAGTATATTTAGGACTTTCCTGGATCCTGGAACTGTGGTCTAGTCTTTGATAGATTATTAGGTCTTTATTCTCATTTTGGCAGGTGTTAGAGCCTACATGCTGGGTTGAAAGGTCAAAATGGTGCCTACAATGTGACTTTAGTTGTGCTGAGGTTTGGGTATATGTTAGACTCAACTGATAGTAAAAGTGGGATACTTTTATTTTTATCTCATTATTCTTTTATTTATTTATTTATTATGTATACAATATTCTGTCTGTGTGTGTGTCTGCCGGCCAGAAGAGGGCACCAGACCTCATTACAGATGGTTGTGAGCCATCATGTGGTTGCTGGGAATTGAACTCAGGACCTTTGGAAGAGCAGGCAATGCTCTTAACCACTGAGCCATCTCTCCAGCCCCTTATCTCATTATTCTTGACATTGAGCATGTGTCTATAAGCTAAGACCATGTGTATATGTGATATATACATATATGATACATATATACATTATATATATATATATCCTTTGCCCATCTTGAATTTCTTTTTTATTTTTTTATTTTTTTGTGAGCCAGGTATGCTAGCACACATCTTTAATTCCTGCACTTGGGAGGCAGAGGCAGGCCTACATAATGAGTATGTTGTATCTCTGAGTTGGAGGCCAGCCAGATCTTCTTATTTGAAACTAGCCTGGTCTACATAGTAAACTTTAGGCCAGCAAGGCAGGCCTTGTCTACAAAAATAAAAAATGATTTGATTAGCTTCTTCTCATATAAGTTGATTTTGCAAGGATGTCATCTGTTCTTTTTATTTTTCTCTTAATATATAAATATAATAAAGTTATTTTGATTTATGTTGTATTTATAAGTCAAAATTTTTACAGCTTTCATAGGCAGCATTTTGTTGTTGTTGTTGTTTGTTTTTTGTTTTGTGAGACAAAGTTTCTCTGTAGCTTTGGTGCCTGTTCCGGAACTAGCTCTTGTAGACCAGACCTGCCTCTGCCTCCTGAGTGCTGGGATTAAAGGCATGCGCCACCACTGCCCGGCATTTTTTCGTTTATATTTTTTAATTGTTAATCTATCCCAAAAAGGGGAATTTCAAGTAGCTGTTTCGTGTGCTTAAATGTATATTTTAGTTCAGGTATGCCCATAAAACTTTTAGAAAGTCTGGAGTTAAAGCAGATTATAGCTGTTTTGAAATTTTGGGCAGTAAAATCTGATGCAGGTAAGTTTGATTTGTTTTGAGACAGGGTTTCTCTTTGTAGCCTGGCTGCTGTCCTGGAACTCTGTAGAAACAGCTGGCTTGAAGTTCAGAGATCCACCTGCCTCCGTCTCCAGAGTGTGTGTGGGCCGGGGGAGGGGGAGGGTTAAAGTTGTGATCCTGACAATTTTGATTTTTTTTTTATCAGGCAACATTCAAAAATAAGTGTGCTATTTATCTTTAGCCTCTTCAAATTTTGGTATCTGTTTTTCCATTGGCCCTGTAATAATGATGGTAAATCTACCAACATGAAATTTACCATTTTTAAAACTGCCACTTTAAGCATTTTGACAGTGAACAGCCCACACTGTTGCGCAGCCATCACCACCATCCATCTCAAAACGTTTCATCTTGCACCAGGTGGTGTGGCGCATTCCTTTAAACCCAGCACTCGGGTGGCAGAGACAGGTTGATTTCGGTGGGTTCAAGACCAGTCTATTCTACAAAGTGAGTTTCAGGACAGCCAGAGCTGTTACACAGAGGAACCATCTCAAAAAAAACAAAAAGAACTTTTCATCTTCCCAAATTAAAACTCTACCCATTAGACAACAGTTACCACTTCCACCCTCATGCTGCCCCAGCAACCACAACTTATTTGTCTCCAAATATGACTGTGTAAATCTTATATAGCAGAATACACATTTTGCCCTTTGTACCTGGTTTATTCACATGCCATAATGTCTTCAGTGTTCATCCATGTGCCTTGAAAGGGACTTTACAGCTAGGGATGGTGGCCTGTGCCTGTAATCTCGGCACTTGGGAAGCCAAGGCAGGAAGTTCAAAAATGGGAGGGAGCCTATGTAGTGGGACTCTATGCCAGAGAAAGGAAGAAAAATAAATACTCCCGTTACTCTGTGTGTGGAGGTGGGGAGATCTGTGACAAGGTCTCACTGGGTAGCTCAGGCTAGCTAGAACACCCTGTTCTCCTGCCTCGGCCTCTTAAGTGCTGTAATTATAGGTGTGTGCTACTACCTCTAGCTTGTTGTTAATTTCTGAGACTATTCCATTGATGTATGCCCTGCTATATATTTTACCTACTAATACTTTTTTCCTTTTCTGTTTTTAAATGTTTCACAAAGTTCTAATATAAAATGTTTTCTTTTTTATCATATATTCAGGCAGATTCTTTCAAAATGGGACATGACTTCATGAAACACTTCCCTAGCAGTGCAGACAAGCTGACCAACCTAAATCTGGTTTCCAGAACATTAAACTTAGATACAACAGACCAAGTTGTGTCCCCAAAGCATGTTGAGTGCCATAATTCTGGTAAAACATCTGTCAGTACTACTTCAAAAGGACACTTGATGCAAGATACCGCTAAGATGGAATGCCTGAATCAAACACTCTCAACTAACAAAAGTCGTTATGCAAATTACAACCCTCAGTCACCTCACCTGCTCAGCAAAGAACAGAAAAGAAGTAATCTTCAGAAAGAATCTCTGATCTTCATGAAGGGAGTCATGGATGAATGTACTCATGTAGCAAACTTCTCAGGTACTAATTTTCACAGGAAACTGGGAACAGCTGTGCTCTGTAAATATTTCTTAGATACACTTCACGTGTGGATGGATGTTTTGCCTGCATGCGTGTCTGTACACCACGTACATTCCTGCTGCCCATGGAGGCCAAAAGAGGGTGTCAGATCCCCAGGAATTAGTAGAGTTACAGATGATTGTGAGCCACCTTGTGGGAACTGAGGATCAAACACAGTTCTTTGGAATAGCAGTCAGTGCTGTTAACAACTCAAGCTATCATTCCAGCTCCCTTGTATGTGTTTGTTTGTTTGTTTTTTTTTTTTCGAGACAGGGTTCCTTCATAGCTTTGGAGTCTATCATGGAACTCTGTAGACCAGGCTGGCCTCGGATTCGTGAAGATCCACCTGCCTCTGCCTCCTGAGTGCTGGGATTAAAGGTGTTTGCCACCACTGCCCAGCATGTTTGTTTGTTTTTATTTTTCTGTTTATATCTTTAGAATATTCATTTTAGGTCTGGGGATATAGCATGTGCAATGTCTGGGCTCAATCCCCCACACACTGCATAAACTCAAATGGTTACAGTGCTATGCCTGTAATCTTAGCATTAGAATTCAGACGTAGAGGCAAGAAGACCAGAAATTCACAGTCCAGCCTGGACTACATGAGAATTCTATCTTAAAAAAACAAAACAAAGAACAGCTGGGCAGTGGTGGTGCATGTCTTTAATCCCAGTACTCAGGAGGCAGAGGCAGGCAGATCTCTGTGAGCTCAAGCCCAACCTGCTCTACAGAGTGAGTTCCAGGACAGGCTCCAAAGCTACATAGGGAAACTCTGTCTTGAAAACAAAACAAAACCAAAAAAAGAAGCGCTTCATTTTTATGAAATGAATATTGTGGTACTGTGGCATAGTGTTTTTCTCTTTTGAGTATGCATGTTCATCTGTATGTCCACATACATGTGGAAGCCAGAAGTCAACACAGGTGTCGTCCTCAGTCACTCTCCACCCTAATTTTTTGAGACAAGCTTTCTCACTAAGCCTAGTGTTTACTAAATTCCACTAGACTGGCTTTGCCAGTGTCTACGTCCCCAGAGGTTATAAGTGAAGCCCTGTATCCAGCTTTAACGTGGTTCTGGGGTCTAAACTTGTGCAGCAAGTACTGTGCTAACAAAACCACCTCCCTAGGGTCTAAGACATGATCTGTGTTGTTCATACTGGTCTCCAACTTGCAATTCACTGCCTCAGCCTTCCAAGTAGCTAGGATTAAAGACTCACATATGGTGCATTTTGTTTGGTAATATATTTTAGGTATTTATGCAAAATTCAAAGCACTTTTTAATGCATCAAAATTCTATACTTAGTTCCAGTTGACCCAAGCCTCATTATAGTGGTACAAGCCAAAGAGGATGCCTATATTCCACGGACAGGAGTTCGAAGCCTGCAAGAAATTTGGCCTGGTTGTGAAATCCGGTACCTAGAAGGGGGTCACATCAGTGCTTATCTCTTTAAACAAGGACTCTTCAGGTAAGATGATTCGTCTAAATTGGTATTTATTTGTTGATTGTTCAGGGGATATTTTTTTTGCTTAAAAAATATGTGGAGGCCAAAAAGGAAATAGGAAGACTAGAACATATAAGAAAATTATTTTAGCCAGGCAGAGGAAGACTAGAACATATAAAAAAAAATATTTTAGCCAGGCAGTGGTGGCGCACGCCTTAAATCCCAGCACTCAGGAGGCAGAGGCAGGCGGATCTCTGTGAGTTCAAGGCAGACCTGTTCTACAAGAGTTAGTTCCAGGACAGGCTCCAAAGCTACAGAGAAACCCTGTCTCTAAAAAACAAAAACCAAACAAAAAAGACAAATATTTTAAATCTTATTTAGAAGGATTTCTCCTGTACTGTTCTCTTATTTTGTCCTGTAGAGATACGAGAAGTCTATTTTATCAGACAGTTTTAAGCAGAGATCATTTTAGAGATACAATAGTTATCTGTCCTCCATATTTGTCAATGGCTGATTATTTCTTTTCACTTTATTTTAGACAAGCCATCTACGATGCCTTTGAACGTTTCCTTCATAAATATGCTAACTAATCGGATCAATGGATCCTACTAAAAGCGTTCACCCTACGATGATGTGAGAAACAAGCAGACAGCACTACTTACCTGATTGCTGCCATATAGTCTGTGTGCCAGTGTTATGGGTCAGTTACCAACTGTAGATTTTATTAATGTAAAAGCAGTACTTGAATCGTACAATCCTGAAGTGTTTGTTACTCTTGAAAATCTCATATATCCAATATGACATCTGTTGTTAATATTTATAAAAACATTTTAATTATGAATAATTTATTGATTCTGAATAAATAGGAACCCTATTGGTTTTTAATAGAATTGTTGAAACTAAGATTATATAACATATGTACTGTATACTGTTATATGGCATTTTTTGCTATTAACTTTATTTTAAAACCTGTGTTCCTCCTTTTTGTCTATGTAGTGGGTTTATAATCTAGCTTTCAACTTTAGGTAATTTACTGCCATAGATGTGTAAATCAGTGTTACCTTTGAATTATGAAAACTATCCTGACTGCTGAGCTGTGCCTCTGTGTACAAACTGCAATCCCAGCACTTGAGAAGTGAAGGCAAGAGGGTCAAGAGTCCCATCATTGTTCTTTACAGAGCAAAGTTGAGGCCAGCCTGAGCTACACGAGACCCTGTCTCAAAAAAATATGTCTGGCATGGTAGCTCATGCCTTCAATCCCAGCAGGTAGGAGAGAGAAGCGTGTAGAGCTCTATTGAGTTCAAGGCCAGTCTGGTCTGTGCGGCAAGTTGCAGGCCTGCCAAAACTACATGATAAGACTGTCTCAAAAACAGTAACACGACAGTATAAAACAAACCTTACTGCTTTGTAATGTTTTACTAACAACCTGAATGCTGAAACATGCAAATAAGATTAGTTAGACTAGAGCAGACTTTAAAGTGTTATCAAACGTTAGGTCAGAAAAGTGCCAGGACTGGGGCTGTACTTGCCCAGCCTGTGAAGACTCTGAGGCCAGTCCCCAATCCGCCAAACAGAAAGAAAACCTGTATGTATCTGGGATGGGAGTCAAACATGCTCTCTATATTTAAGAGAGCTTTGTCTTGAAAAATGGATATGCTAGATGAACTTTTCACTAGATACTAGATTCTTTCAGGCATTTCTTACACACCTGGTTCTTCTGTTGCTTAAAGACTGAGTTAACAGCTTTGACTTTTTGATTTCAGAATTTAATAGCTACATATGAAATTGAACCATTGTACAGAAAAACTTGAGGCTTTATACACTGCTGACTTTTTAAATGGGATTTATATGGATAGATATATGGTGCTGATAATAAACTTCTCTGAGCAAGAATGTTTAAAAGGTAATATTAAAATGTGTTTGTTTGAAATCTGTATTGCTCTTAAATTTAAGTTTAATGGAGATATGTGGATTTTTTTTTCTTTTTTGCAAGCCAGGGTTTCTGTGTAGCCTTGGAGCCTGTGGATAGGTGGATATTAACATGCCTTTGGCAGCTTTTTAAAGATGCTGCGCCATTCTAAGGTCTGTTCCTAAAGTTCCCAACAGCTGTTTAAACATTTTTACTGTGGAGTCGGTGATGGAAAAGTAGTTGCTTCTTGGACACTTGGACTTTCACATATATCACAGTAAGGCTGTTAGAGCTACAGCAATTTCGTATATTCAGACTAGAACTTTTACTTTTGACTTCCAGAACAAAATGATCCTTTAAATAAAACCTATGTACACCTTTAATCTCAGTGCTCTGGAGGCTGAGGCAGGCCAATCTCTCAGCTGGAGGCCACCAGGACTACACAGAGAAAACCTGTCTGTCTTTTTAAAATAAATAAATAAAACAAGAGATTAAATGTATTACACCATTCTATCATGCATATAGTGAGAGAATTTCTTTGGATTCTGAACATAGTTTCAGCCAAAAACATTTTTCTTCACATATGCATTTATTAAAAACATTCTGTGGTATGTAGTTTTTCTACTAGTAAAATAATGAAAATTTGATATTTTAATTAATTCTTAGACTATTTTAGAATTTTTATTTTTTAAGAACTGGGTGCAGAGTCAGGCATGGTGGTACATACCCTTAATCCCAGCTCTGGGAGGCAGAGTTCAAGGCAAGCCTGGTCTGCCAAGCAGTTCAGAACAGTCAGAGATATACAGAGAAACCTTATCTCAACAGAGGGAAAAAAAAAGAACTGTGTGTCACTGGCAGGACATGCCTGTAATTCCAGCACTTGGGAGGTAAAGGATCAGTCACAAGTTCCAGGCCAATACAGTCTACATAGTGTGTTCCCAGACCACTCAGGACTATCTGTCTCAAATAAATAAATTTATTTTTATCCTTCATTCACAAAACTGCCTAAGCTGATTAATTCAGAGAGAAAAAAAATACCTTTTTTCACGTTTCTTTAAGCCCACTCAGCATAATAAAGCATTCATACACACACATTATATATATTCTTTGAGAAATTAATGTATTTTCAAAGAAGTCCTGCCTGCCATTTTCCCGACACTTTGTGGATTAGGTCTATAAATACTATAGATTCAATCAGACCAGAGTTGCAGGGAACTAGTTTTCACAGGCCAGTTTGACCCAGTTTTGTCTGGTGTACAGAATAGGTGTGAATTCCCAATTCTGCTAGCAGACTTCTTATGTGTAAGTAACTACTACTCTATATTTTCACTCAGCTCTAAAGACCTGGTGTAGTTCTATACTTAGACTTCATGATTTGCCAATGTTGTCATTAGATTTTATCAATGTATTTTTAACGTGGTGCTTTCTCTAATGTCTATTAACATTATAACTGAATTTTTAAGATATTTCCAAATTTATATTTCATAATAAAAATCTATTTTAGTAGTTATTTGCTTTGTTTTCCTTTTAAAGAAGTATCATTCCAACTACCAGAAGCATTTATCGTTTGATTTGTGTGTCCAAACCTGAGCTAATTGGGTTTGCCTTTAGCTCTCATACCCATGTGGTAAGGCGGGAAGGAGTCAAGGAAGCTCTGCCCCAGTATCAGTATGCTAATGTCTCCTCAGAGCCAGGTTTTACTCCATTCCATCCCAGGAGAACAAGCACTCTGGCATACCTTGTTTGTCTCGGCGTCGTTTAACTTAGATGTGATTATGTTGAAAATAGTAAACATAAAAAAAAAGGGCCGGGCTGTGGTGGCGCATGCCTTTAATCCCAGGCACTCGGGAGGCAGAGGCAGGTGGATCTTTGTGAGTTTGAGGCAAACCTGTTCTACAAGAGCTAGTTCCAGGAGAGGCTCCAAAGCTACAGAGAATCCCTGTCCCGAAAAACCAAAAAAAAAAAAAGTAAACATATGGCAGGTGGTGGCGGCGCATGCCTTTATCTCCGGCATCGGGAGGGAGAGACAGGCAGTAAGGTTTCATTTAATTATAGGATCCCCTTGAGCTGGGAGTAATGAGGTCATGGACAAAGGCTGCCATCAAATGGTTGGAAATCAGATGTGGTTGCTCATATCTGTAATCCCAACACTGGAGAAGTTAAGGGCAGAAGGAAAGAAAGGGCAAAGCCAGCTGGGCTGACTTCACACCTGTTCACACCTGTAGGGTTGGTTTGTACCTGTACCTGCAAGCATGTGCACACATACACACACAAATAAGTTTAATAAGAATTTTGTGCCAGACGGTGGTAGTGTATGCCTTGAATCCCATCATTCAGGAGGATGAAGCACATGAATTTCTGAGTTGGAGGCCAGCCTGGTCTACAAAACAAGTTACATGACAGCCAGGGCTACACAGAGAAACCCAGTCTCAAAAAACAAAACAAAGGCGGTGGTGACACACACCTTTAATCCCAATAGCTTGGGAGGCAGAGGGCAGATGCATCTGTGTGAGTTCAAGACCCGCCTTGTCTATGAAGCAAGTTCCAGGTAAGTTTCAGGACAGCCAGGGCGGTTACAGAGAAAAACCCTGTCTCAGGAAACAAACAACAACAAAATAATGAATAAGTAAATAATGATAATAATAAATATACATTATGTAATATATTATTTTTCAAATATACAATAAATATTCTATATGTGTTATTATTTTGTCTCAGATTTTTTGAGACAAGGTTTCACTATGTAACCCTGTCTGGCCTGAAACTCGCTATGTAGCTCAGGCTGGCCTTGAACTCAGAGATCTGCCTGCCTCTGCCTCCTGAGCATTGGACTTTTGCTGAACTGAGAGTAGAATTATTATTATTGTTTTTCAAGACAGGGTTTCTCTGTAGCTTTGGGGGTCTGTTCTAGAACTAGCTCTTGTAGATCAGGCTGGCCTCAAACTCACAGAGATCCACCTGCCTCTGCCTCCTGAATGCTGGGATTAAAGGCGTGCGCCGCCACCACCAGGCTGGAATTATTGTTTTGAAGGAGATAATTCACATTTGTTTCAAAGTTTTGCTCCATATCATCAAAACCTTTTGCAAATGCTCATGTGTCAAGGCTCTTTCACCAGGACATCTTGGCTCTGAGAATATCTGCGCAGATTGACTTAATTTTACTATATAGCCCTGGCTGGCCTGGAACTAACTAGACCAGGTTGGCTTTTACTCAGAAATCTCCTACCTTGAGGGCTGGAGAGATGGCTCAGAGGTTAAGAACACTGGCTACTCTTCTAGTTGGTCCTGAGTTCAATTCCCAGCAATGATGTGGTGGCTCACAACCGTTTGTAATGAGATCTGGTGCCCTCTCCTTCTCTGTATGCATACAAGCAGACAGAATACTGTATACATAATAAATAAATAAATAAATCTTTAAAAAGAAAAGAAATCTCCTGCCTCTCCCTCCTGAGTGTCTGGAGCAAATGCCTTTAGTTGGACCTTTCAGTGAACCCACCCCATTACTCTCCATATTCACCATGTTGCCGTAACACAAAGCGATGACAGTACCACGTATGGTTTCTATTGTAACTACACTAATTGGGTAGTGTAAAGCAGCCAAAGGACCCGTGGAAATGAGTCAACATGACTGTGTTCCAGCGATGTGCTGTGCTCAAACTTTTACAACTGAAATTTGAATTTCATATGATTTTCATGTCTCACAAAGTATTCTTTTTGCTTTTAGAATGTTTTCCTAGCATGCTCAAAACCTGGGTTCAATATCCCCAGGGGTGTGGAGGAAGGGGAAAAGCCATTTGTAGTTTATCCCTGTAGGGTGCACAGGCTTTGACCAGGGCCACAGTGTCCATGCCCAAGCCACGTAGCCAATGCAGCGCTGACTTGTTTCCTGTCACCTTTACAATATGATGATCTCCTTGGGATGGAAGCAGCTGTCCAGTAAGACAACTAGTCCCCTTCAAGGGCCATGTAATTAACAGGTGGACTAGAGTTGTAGTTTGGTGGTAGAGTGCTAGCATTGGTGAGGCTCCAGCCACTGCAAAACAATAACAAATGAATGAGTATCATAAAGGTGAAAATATTTACATAAAAAGAGAAAAGCAAAAAAAAAAAAAAAAAAAGCAAAGCCACCAGGCACGGTGGCTTGTTCCTTTAATCTCAGTGCTCCTGAGGTCATCCTTAGCTACAAGATGTTTTGAGAGCCCGGCGGTGGTGGCGCACACCTTTAATCCCAGCACTTGGGAGGCAGAGGCTGGCGGATCTCTGTGAGTTCGAGACCAGCCTGGTCTACAGAGCTAGTTCCAGGACAGGCTCCAAAGCCACAGAGAAACCCTGTCTCGAAAAAACCAAAAAAAAAAAAAAGATGTTTTGAGATCAGCCTGAATTATATGAAATCCTGTTTAAAAAGAAAACCATAAAAACCAATTTTTATTTACCATTTGTTTAATGACTTTAAAAAAAGAAAGAAAACAAAGTACTAGTTGACATTTTCCTTTGGAGGGGTTGGTTTTTTTAAGTAAGAGTTTTAAGTGAACGGAAGAATGTAAACATAATTTAAACTGTAAAGACCCAATTGGCTTATAAACAAATGGTTGTTGCTCAGGTCTACGGAGTTTGTGGTTTTAGTAGGGTTCCCACCCCCCCATTGGTAGAAATATGAAGATCTAATCCTGGTATTAAAGGTGGAAACCCAGACATACTCAAAGACAGAGAAGTAATCGTTTCTTCTTCCCATGTAGCATACAGTTTCCAAGGTGCTCCTTACGATTATCGTTTTCCATTGCTCACAGTGTTGAGTTTGGGCAGAACCCATGATTTTTACCTTCTGACCAACAGGCAATGGAAACACTGATTGCACTCACACACTTGCCCTTTCTGCAGAGGTGTTGGACCCCTAAGGCCCTCTTCTCTCTCCACCTGGTCATGAAGAAAAGAAGTCAGTGCTGTTTCTGATTTGTATGGAGAGAGCAAAGTCCGTGTGAGATGAACTGTGTGGGTGGCCTCCCAGAGCTGAGCTGGTCCTCTGGTTGACAAAGCACAAAATGTGAATCAATCCTACAGTTGCAAATATAGAAATTGTACCCCAGACCTAGGCCCGAAAGCAGATTCTTCTTCTTGAAGCGTCTAGGTGAAAATTTCCCCCAGCTGACGTTTGATTGAAGTAGTCGAGGCCCTGAAGTAGAAAGCCCAGCCAGATGGGTTATGGCAAACTAATCCTGGTGGGAAAAGGCAAATGAGAAGATTGAGAAGAGGCAAAGTAGACTCGGAGATGCATTCTTCAGTTCTTTCTTAAGGTCTTGGGGAAGCTGTTCCCGGGGACTTGGACCTGTAATCCCACCTCCACAGGAAGCTGAGACATAAGAATGTCAAGTTCCAGGCCCCGAGAGCAATTTAGTGAGACCTCTCAAAATGAAAAATACCTAAAAGCCTGGGAATATAGCTCAGTGGTAGGCCTTGTTGGCCTAGTACAAGTAGTAGAGGCAAGGCCCTAGGTCCACCCTATCCTACCCCCCCCCCCAAAAAAAAAGAAAAACAACCAGGTCTTAGTGAAGCTTTCAGGGATTTAGATTATGGCCCTTTTTGAAGAGAGTCACACTTTAGCTATAATTACAGCTTACTGGAGTAGTTGCCCAGAGCAAAAGAAAGCATCAATTTACTTGTAAAGTTTTGTAAGGAGACTGTCCCCCTAAAGTAGCTGACTAGCAGGTGGTACTCCCACAACTGTCCCTGCTTTACTTTCTTCCCATGCTCAAAGTCAGATATGTTCAGTTCCTTTCCACATAGCGCTCTTCCAGCTCGACTGTTAGGGACAGATCTTAAAGATGGTTTGGGGCAGGTTCTACACACCGGGGAAGGACCATTCCTGTTGACCTCCAGATGGAGAGTGCGCTGCCCTGTGGCTTGTCAAGCCCATGGGAGGACCTGTGTTAACTTGCATGGGCAGATGCGCATGGAAGCGGTTCAGATTTACAACAGGGAGGAGGGCAGGCATGAAGAGGAAGTGGAAAGCCTCTGGGTTTTTCTACGATGGTGTATGGAGGCTACTGAACCGTAGGAGTGGAATGATACCCGTTTAGGATGCCATACCGAGCAGAAAGCCTCCAAAAAATCCTCCAGTTACTAATACATTCTGCTTTATGAACGACACCAACTCCTCAGCTTTGCTTTTGACCTCAGTTGGTAATTGGGCGCTCTTCCGAATCTTCAATTGTTCCTTGGCCTTTTTCATGTCCTTCTCTACACGATTCCAGTCAACTTTGATGTAGCCAGTGTGGTTTGCTAGCTGAAGTAGAAAAAAGCCCCCTCCCACCGCTGTGGCAGCCAGCTTTCCAACTCTCTGAAATATGAAGCCAGTGCACCAGCCCGTGATGCCGCCAACCAGGAGCTGGGTTGCCACACTGTACTTCTCGCCCGCAGACCTGGTCTCCTGCCCAAAAAGTTTGCGCCACCAAGGCTGGTTTTTGCCAAATTCTGTAAGATCCAATGCCTCATAAGCGTCAAAGTGCTCTTGACTCTTCGTGGCCATCTC